TTCAGCATGTTTGGTCCGTCTGGCGTGCTCCAGTGGAGCTTCCTCAAACTGATGATGGGGCTGCGTTGTGGGTTTGGGCTAATCGTCGCGTAGCAGTGGAGGAAACAGCAAAGTCGACTTGGTTGAAAGAGACTGGGGTGTAGAAGTTATCTTTCTTTCTTGAAGAAAACAGTTGATCCGTGTCTCCCTTCTGCAGGCAATAGGAGATGGCTAGGTATACAGTGATCTTCTTCGGGATCCAAACGTGTTCAGTGAACACAAAACAGTCTGTTGCTCGTCCGGGGAATTGGAGACTGTTCGCTAAGATAATTAAAGTACAGTGTTGGCTAGCAGTGGAACTACAACACTGGGTGTAAGGTGTAATATTTCCTTTCTTGAAATTTGGTTATTTAAAAAATTTATCACACCAAAAAAGCTAAGAGAGCTTGTGTAATTTAGCAAACTTTAGCTCGCACACATTTCAAAGTTGAAACTATAGTGAAGGGCCAGAGATACTATTGCACTTCTTGAGGTACAAAGTGGTATTACGAGACAGCTGCACCTTTTTAGTCGTCCGACCACTCAAAGAGCTTGACATTACATGTCACATTGGTCCTTAGGTTTTTACTCTACAGACCCATGGCTTCTCTCTTAGGCTAATTAATGAGTTCATTTTGGCTTGCATATATTTAACTTTATGGCTCTGTAACAAAAGGAATCGAGGGATGATGTAACTTGTGTTGTCTGAGAATGTAAAATAATTGAGACTAAAGGAATGGGAACAAATGAGACAAGACACCGTATAGATCATTCAAGTCAAGTGTACTGAAGTGTCTTGATGAAATTGTTTTCCCTCCACAGCCAAGTCTTCTACATTCGTGGACAGTTGTGACTTTGAGGAGGAGAACATTTGTGGGATGATTCAGGGTCCTGGCAATGCAAAGTGGGAACAACGTAGTTCTGTGAAAGGAGGGCCTCAGACTGACTTCACCAACATGGGACAATGCAAAGGTGACTGTCAATCGTCAAAAAGAAGTCCTGGAGTTGTCCTTTTAAGATCTAGAGACTCTGAACGCTTCCAGAGATGCCAAATACATCACAATATATCAATGCCGTCTTGGGTTTCAGTATAATTTTATAATGAAATACTGGAAAAGGTAAAACAGATAAACTTTATTCATCCCAAAGGAAGTTGCAGTACAAAGTAGGAAAGCGCAAATGTTCAGTAAAAGCCTAGTCCCAATTAGATGCCTGTCCTGTTACTGGTCTTATCTATCTACAAAAAGATTACAGTACAGAGAGAGATGACCGACCGACCAACCCTACCAGTAAATCTTAATGAATATTACTTTGGTGCTCAGTGTGTCCATAAAATGAACTAAACAATTGAATTGTATAATGTAATAAACAAAAAAACAAATTTACAAACAAAATTGTGATTGTGATTATCCCTCGACTCTAACTGCTGTCTCCAGCTATCCACCCCTGTGCTGCTAAAGAACTTTGAATCCCTCATCAACATCATTTTAACAAAGTTATGCCAATTCTTGCTGTGAGAAGAGGAAGTCCAGTCAGTATGACCTGGAGGAGACTTTAAGCATAGTGATCTGAATAAGGTACCATAAAACCCACCAACAGCAGCACTAAAAGCCTGTAGGTGTTATTAACGGGTGATCACGCATAACTAACTTTTCATTTGTTTACTGTAATATGAAAGTTCTGAGGCCCAACAAGTTCTCTCTGCCCTCAGGAAAAGGCTTCTTCATGCACTTCAGCACGGCCTCTGCTAAACCTGGTGACCGTGCAGTCCTGGAGAGTCGTTGGCTTTATCCCAAACCTGGAGCCCAGTGTCTGCAGTTCTTCCTCCATAACACAGGGGCAGCAGATGATGTTCTCAACATCTGGGTGCGAGAGGATGACCGCCTCAGAAAACTGAAGCTCTTCAAGAGTATTTCAGGTAACAAATTAAATATTGCGTATTGTATAATATATAATTAAAATAAGGGAACATTTAATCATCACAGTATAACATCAAGTCAATACAACTTCAGGTATATCTATCTGTCTAGTTAGGAAGCATAAGTGATTGTGAAATTCACTTGTTTGGTGCAAATGAAAGTGATAAGAGGAGCACTGGAGAGGCAGCAGCTAACAAACCCCAAGAAGGGAAGGGTTTTGCTGGTGTTGCCCGCAGACAACTGCTCTCTCCTTATCCTTCCAGACTGACTGTTCTCTAGTTTTGCATTTTGAAAGTGTCCATGTCATTACTGGTAGCATGAGGTGGTACCTGCAGCCCGTTCAGGTTGCACTGGTAGTCCAGCTCCTCCAGGATGGCTCATCCATGTGTGCCAAGGACAGCTGGAGGGGGGCATCAACTCAACAGCAAGACCAGTATCTGCTCCTTTGTGCGAGGAGGAACAGGAGGAGCACTGCCAGAGACCTACAAATTGACCTCCAGTGGGCTACTGGTGTGCATGTCCTCTAGTGGGATCTGTGCTCACTGCCCAGCACTGTGCAGCTCGAATGGCATTCGCCAGAGAACACCAGAATTGGCAGGTCCACCATTGGTGCCCCGTTCTCTTCACAGATGAGAGCAGGTTTAAACTGAGAACATGTGACAGACGTGAAAGAATCTGGAGACGCTGTGATGAACGTTATGCTCCTCCTGGTGCAGGACAATGCCTGGCCTAATGTGACCAGAGTGTGTAGGTAGTTCCTTCATGATGAAGGCATTGATGCCACTGACTGGCCCTCACGTTCCCCAGAACTGAATCCAGTTGAGAACCTCTAGGACGTAATGTATCGGTGCATCTGACGCTGCCAAGGATCACCCTGTGATTTTAATTATTTTACTTTGATTTTCAGTGGGGTGTTCAGTGAATCCATCTCTCAATTGATTGGTGATTTTGATATCCATCGACCGTTGTAACATCATTTTGACCTCAATGAAGTATCCAATGTACAGTATAGACTTTAAACTACTGTATTTGTTCATCAAGGTCTGATGTGAGATTTAAATTTAAGATTAGAATTTAGATTTAAACGTTCCCTTCATTTTTGGAGCAGTGTATATAATGTGAAGTCAGAGTAGATTTCACCTACACCTTACACGTAGTAATGAATTATTGATTAATAGTCATTAATATCTATTTTCTGTCCTCTTTTCAGGAGGCGTCAGGGGCTCTTGGGAACTGCAAAACATCAATCTGAGTGTGACCAGGAAGGCTCGTGTAGTTTTTGAGGGCGTGAGGGGAAAGGGGCCATCAAAGGGAGGTTTCTCTCTGGATGACATTAACCTGTCATCCACAAAGTGCCCTCAGCACATCTGGCACATCCACAACATCACCGGCCTGCTGGCCACCACACCAGCAGGAAAGAAACTGTACAGCCCTCGCTTTCTGTCACCAGCAGGTTACTCCTTCCAGGTAAATGCCTTTTCAATGATTTTTATCTTCATTTTGCTCAATAAAAAGAATACAGAGACATTCATTTAGACAGAGAGAGGCATGTAGCAGTCCAACAAACAATATGCAATGCCTAAATTCAAAATTCCCCAAAATAACAATAAATACTTATCAAAAGCAGGCTTCTAATTTCTATCCATCAGCCCCTTTATTTATTTATTATTTTCTTTTAACCTGCAACTCCAAGAACTAATATAGCTAGGTAATGAAATGATAATAACTGCTGTTGGTAGTAAGATAATTAGCCAAACGTAGCTCTTTTAATAGGATTAGTGTTTTGGAGAGGCTAAAAACATACACAACCCTCCAAACTCTTCATTTGCCAACCCTAACACACCTGTTGTGTAGGCTATTGCTGATACTCTGGAAAACAAGTGTTCAAATGTAAATGTACACTGGCCACTGGAGTGTCAAGGCATGTGGTGGTGGGGGTGGGGGCTTTCAGGGCTTAGCAGTTCCTGAACAGTGCAAAGAAGCACAACAATGCAATTAAATTAAGGGTGACATTGTGGGTTTTGGTTATGGTTAGCATTATTGTACCTCAGCATAGTTAAAGGCAGCTTCTCCTTGATATAACTGTTGATTTTACCCCCCAGCCCTTTTTCCAATGGAAGTAACACTACTGTTTACCTTTACATGTACATTTTTATAGAAGTACTTAATGGAACATTACTTTTACTTGCTAAGTGCTCTTTCCATCCCTGGCAGTTGTTTTAATTTGTTGTTATGGTGGAATGTAACAAAGTCAATATATTTAAGTACTTAGTTACTGTATTTTAAAGTACTTTTACTTTACTGGAGGTACTTTTCCATTTTATGCCACTTAATACGCAAATATTGTACTTACAAAATAATACAAATCAACTAATAAATTACGATAAATTGTCTTAGATTACCCAGCTGCTATTAGCCCCACCTTACACTTGAATACACGACTTATTATAACCCAGTAATAATTTTCCTATTTATTCTGCATAATGAGTACTTTTTTGTTTGATACTACTATATTTTACATACTTTTACTTAAGTAAATAGTAGTAGGCCTAGATAGATTTTAATTGCAGGGATTTTGTATTTTACAGTTCAGTAAAATACTTATTTTGCCTCTGATGAATGGTCAATTAACTTACATCAACATCATATACTGATGCAACTTTTTTTAATATCTCAACCTTAAGTTAATTGGTGTGATTTTGAAAGCAGCAAGTACTTCAACTTTATTTCACACTGCTCTTTGATCTGTAGGTGGGTGTGTACTTAAAAGGAACAGAGAACAATCCAGGGTACGTGGCCGTCTACTTCTACCTGACCTCAGGCCCAAACGACAGCAAACTCAAGTGGCCGTGTCCGTGGCAGCAGGCAACTATGGTCCTGATGGATCAGCAGTCTGACATCAGACAGCAAATGAACATGCATCGAATGCTCACCACCGACCCTGACGAGATGTTCTCTAATGGTAAGAGTATGGTGGATAACTTGGCTATCCACTCATTCTGAATGGATTTTAGTGAGTTGTGTTTGTCAAACAGGGAATGACAGCTCACCTGTTTCTCTCAGGCACAAAGTACCAATGGGACAATCCCAGGAAGGTCGGCTCTAAAGTGACTGAGTCTGATGGCAGCTTTTACTATCGAGGACCAGGCTCTGGAACAACTGCCTTCATCACCCACAGCTGGCTAAAGAGCAGGAACTTCATCAAAGGAGACGATGCCTTCTTCCTCTTCAGTCTGGAAGGTGTGGAGTCTTTCAGACACTAATTAGACAACGAGACAGGACCAAAATATCACACACAGCTATACTGTATATCTAAGATCTCTATCACAGCTGTCGTCTACTTTGTCCTCAGACATATCAGGTCTACTGGTATCTCAGCCTCTTCCCCGCTCTGCAGTCCATGCTGATTCCAGTCTGATGAAGGCTGCAGACCAAGGTGCTCCACAAGGAGCTGCTAATAACCCCACAGTGGTCATAGCGATGGCAGGGTCTGCGGCAGCAGCCATGTTGGTGGTGTTCATGCTGATCGTAGTGAACGCCCGGAGGGTGAGGAAGAGACGGCAGGAGAGTGATGAGGTGTTGATCACAAAGAACATGCCTGGATTCATGGAAGTGAGTTACATTAGATCATTCACATAATTCTAAGTTAGGTTAATAATAATTTACTGTAAACTCTAAAGCAAACTGTAAACTCTTAGTTTCTGTTTGGAAAATCTGAGCTAAATGTCTCTCTGTTTCATTACAGGAGAGAACATCTCTTCTCATCACTCCATGATGTCCCGATCAAAGAACAAAAATCAGCACTTACTAGAAGAGAGAGGGCATTACCAAATGATCTCTATAATCAGAGTGTCACCTGAATCCTTTTCATGTATAATCTGAATTTGTTGTTAGAAATAAAATATATTCTGACAGCATTCATGTCCAAATCATTTCTTCCCTTTAGCAAAACTTCGTCATTACCAGTCAGTGAGTGAGTGATTTATAGTAATGTGGTTACTTTCAAGGGTACCCACATTTGTTATAACAAATGAAGTCACAGCCCGAAGTCACAGCTACGGGGTTTCACTCAGCGACACTCTTGAAAGTGGCGGCTTTTAAATCAGTCTCTCTCCCACTGCGCTTGAACACAGCAAGCATCTGTCTTCTCTGTCTTTTCACTGCAACTCTACATCGCGATGTAACGATATATATTTATTACTTTAAAAAGTAACGGTGACAGTGAAACCTTTTCTCATACTGTGATGGTAAAACTTTGCAATCAGTCCACACTCCACCTGCGTGCCGAACTGTGTGGAGGGAGGTGGGAGGGTATTAACATGACAACAACAATACGTTTCAAACCCCGCCCCCCCTCTATTTTTTTACAAATCGCACCCTGTCATAGCCTGATAAACAGATAACATGGACAAAAAAGAGGATCCATATGAGAATTTGTAAGTACAGCACGGGTCACTCAGCCTGAGAGAGAGGGAGAGGGAAAGAGGTGTGTGAGAATCCATTTCCTGTGAGCTAACTAATAATAATAACGTTTTTAATTTTAAATTAAATTTACAAAGGAAAATTTTCAATTCAGGTTTTTATTTCATGAAAAATTCCCCCCCAAAATAATTGTTATATTTATTACACTACTACACCACCATTACATTTTTCCTGTCGCGCACCCCCAAGAGGCACCTCACACACCTCCAGGGGTGCGCGCACCACACTTTGGGAATCGCTGCTCCAGAATAAATGTAATACATATTCATGAGACATCAGTTAGGGTTGCAGCTACTATTACCAAGTCCATAATACTGTCTACAGCCCTGCATTCAGCTGGTTCCTGTTCAGTTTTACAATTGAAAGAGATAGGGGAGACTGGGGGCAATTGTAACATCTCAAATTGCACCAATCAGAAACAAGACAGAACTATGAAACTTATCATGAACGCGCTCTGTGACCATCCCTCTCTGCCTGCCGAAGGACAAGCTGATGAGACATTATATATATTATAATATGTCTTTTGCAGCATAGTCCAATAGTATATCTTTGGCCTTTTCATTCTGGGGACCGGGGTTCAATTCCCACCAAGAGCCAATTGCTCATGCTTTCAATATCTTCAGTGTTTACAAATGTGAAGTTGTCACAATGTTAAATACTCTAATAATAATCTATCAACATATTTATCAAGAGATCAACATTGTTTAGATTTTTGGTTTGTAATAGTAGCATTATATTGAAACTCAATATAACAAAGAATAGATGATAGCATCTTTCTAATAATGTTCAGTTTAAACATTTATATATGAATGATCTATAACCTACTTTACTAGGGGCATAGTCCAGAGGTTCAAGTTTTTGCCTCTCAATTTGGGGATCCATTGATGGGGAGGTCGCCTCCGATGATGTGTTGAGGGCAACTCAATGCTATGACATTTGTCATGTGTCCTTGTACCACTTAATAAAAAAGAAGTTTCAAGCAGTAATATCAATGGATCTTAAATTGTTTTAACTATATCTATATTCTTGGTAGTTTATTTTGATCCTTGGTATCTTTATGAAGGAATTATGTGTGTTGTTACAATTGCAACTGTAGCAGACCTCGGCTACGTAAAATTTTAATACAGTTATGGAAATTAATATTTCCGGGAATATTAATTTATACCTCGAAAGCACCACCTAAAGATTTGCTTGTCCGCCCAAGGCTTTAGGTCCTTGAGTATAGCCTGAGAATTATACGAAGTTCGGTTAATTCATTAGTTGTTATTCTGAAATCGTAAGGTCAATCAGTCAGTCTCAGATCTGAGCGTAAGTTCTATGTATAGGGACTCTACATTCTGAATAACACACACACATACATCGCTGTGCTCAAGGTGAATTTATTAACTAACAAAAAGAGAGTACAATTGTGATTGATGTGGTGATTACAGGGATAACAGTTAATATGACAACAAGGAGGTACTAACACAGGGTAGCCTATGTAAGGTTCGATTGAATTTCAGTTTATATTGTAGAGGGAGAGAATTCTACCAATATGAGGGAACGAATGACCGAAATTGGGTTGCAGATTTAGTTTGACTAATCTAAGGGTTATTAACTGTGGATGGAGCCCATAGAACACCAACGAGTCACAGAGTGTTGTTTGTTTTGGCCTACCGTTGCCGCAGGTCCCGTGGCGAGGCTCGACTGCCGGTTGGCTCGGGAAGTCGGTTCTGGCCCGACCCCAGTGGTGTTTTCGAGTTGGATTGAAACCGGTGGATTGGGTCCGGAGTCCTCTTGTGGGAAGCGCTTGCTTGGAATATAGGCTATTTAATGTCGCTGAGGTTAAACAGGCAGATCCAAACAGAATTAAAAAAATCAAATCTCCCGCTAAGAGGTTTGGGATTCAGGGTCGTAGCTTTCTTTTAAGTACGAAACGAAACGAAAATCGGAATTTCAAAAGTAAAGGAAGTTAAGAGAACGTATACGTTTAGTTTCAAGAAAGTTTAAAAAAAAAGAGTTTTCTTTGAAGAGGAAGAAGAAGCTGGAACAAAAGACAGCAGGGCCTTTTTATTGATCCCGCTAGGTAGTGACGTCAATGTTGGGGATGGTCTCCCAACGTTGCTAAGGTGTTAACTTTTTGGGATAAAGAAATATACGTTGCGCGTATTTCCCTTTGATCTCTCTCTCCACAATATCGACATTTGGAAAAATACTTAATTCTAAACATTCGGATAAAGACAGTTAAAACAAGGCTAAACACTATGGAAAAAGGTTATAATGGTTATATAAAACGTAACAAAGCTTGATTACCTGTCCTCAGTATACTTGCTGGTTACTGGTTTTAACTCATGAGACAATTTAGATGTAAGCATGACAGTAAAATTTCGTTTATGCAATTACATGGTGATAGTTAGGCCTACTTAGCAATTCTGTCAGTGTAAGCCGAGTTTTAAACACTTGCGTGTTATACCTTTCTTGTCCCCTTGGTGGTGCTCGAGTCACACAAGAAAAGAGTAGACATTCCACTTTAACTGAGAGGCTGGTGATGCCTATGAGCGTTTCCATGGATAATTTAGTAAGAAATTGTATATGAAACATTTAACTAAAGCATTAGTTAGCATTGAATAGACAGTGATTACTAGGGAGTAACAGGAATGACTTAAGACAACACAGAAAGAGGTTAGAAAACTAGTTCAAGATTGCTTTCTTATGGGTCTGCTAGTCTTCAAACATCACTAAAGGATAACAACAGGGTTATTACTTACTAAACTCAGAGGCAAACACCGCTGCTCACTTAGCAAGGTTATTATTTAAACAGAATAAACACAGCTATAATGGAACTTGCTTGGTTCGAGAAACAGGGGTTTTTATGTTCTCTCTTCTCTGCATTCCTGGCTTTTCGCACAGGTTATCAGAGAATGAAATGGTGGTTTATGGCTCAGCCGTTCTGTGGAGAGAAAAGAGTCAGGTTGAGGCTGGAGGTGACCTGCTGGAGGGAGAAGGGGTCAGATCGCCCCTTTTCCTGTCCTGTGGACTGTCTTTAGTGACACCTTTATGGCTAGAAAGGTTCACTAAGGCTCTTTGAATACACAATCCTTAAGCGATTCATTGTCTGATTGAGTCTCTTTCGTTCCTTACCAACACCAGGCGATGTCTCTGGGTTTTACATGTGAAAAGGTCAACTCTCGGGGAGGGAATCTTCCCTCCCTCTTTTGACACCATCTGACCTTCTTTGAAGTGCGTCTGGTTGAGTTCACAACACAACCCATATGCTGTTACAATCGCCCCTGCAGGTAGGGGCAGATGTAACATTTTCATCAAGTGTTTGAATCAATATTGTGACTTTAATATTGTTTGTAAAAACATTTGATGACTGTTAACAAGTAAAACACAGGTACAAGTTACTTCTATAAAAAATGTATCCAATTAGTTTTTGAGTTATAACCAAGAAACCAAAAATTGTTACAATTGCCCCCGGTCTCCCCCTACTACACACCTGAACTTACATCTATCACAAGATTGTCAGATCAAGGACGCCTTTCACATCTGACACCAAAGAGCATCTCTGAAAAAAGAGGATATTATTTCAATTTCCAAGGGTAAAACCTTGCTGAAGCTGCTGTGAGGGTTTGCCATTCATCTGCCAGATGCTGAGTGTAGTTCCAGCAGCAGCCACAGAGAGGCACCACACACAACAGTATTGGTCAGAGTGATTGTAAAAAGGGATTACGTACTGACCCCTGTGTGCAATCTAAACAGTAAATAGTCAAGTCATGTTGTTACACATAACTGTAGAGATGGGAGGTGACTGACAAAGGAAGCTGTGAGCAGGTCTGAGGGGTGAGGATGATGGACGTTGGAACCCGTGCTTGAAGTGGAAAAACATAGGTGCCAGTACTCCCCCTCCCATCCTCAACCACAAGATAAAACTAGTAAATATTATAAAATTAACGACTTTGCGCATTAACCACTTAATTTGCTGCATTCTGAACACATTTTCTGCACCAAGTTATGGAGGAAATGTCTTATAATAATAATAATAATAATAGAATATAATTCAGTTATCAGCTTTTGGACAATGTAAATTTGTTTCTTCTACAGTCCCTTCCAAACGGACTGGAACGGTAAGGCAAATTCCTTTGTTTTTGTTGTTCACTGAAGACATTTGGGTTTAAGATCAAAAGATGAGACAAGAGTTCAGAATTTCAGCTCTCATTTGCTGGTATTCACATCTAGATGTGTTAAACAACTGAGGACATATCACCCTTTGTTTGAACCCACCCATTTTTCAAGTGAGCAAAACTATTGGAACATGTGACTGACAGATGTTCCTTGTTGCCCAGGTGTTGCCTTTTAGGTTAATTGTCCAAACATTAAATAGCTCTGCATGACTAGTCTAAGTTTTCATCCTTGGTTCAAACCTATAAAGACTGCATGTCCTTTTAAAGAGGAT